ATCGTGTTTGAGAAGGGGCAGATTTCTGCTCAGGAGAAAAATGGGGTTCTGCCTTTTTTTTTTTTTTTTTTTAAGATTGGGAGAGTTAGAACTAGATAAGCAGAGTGAGAAGTAGATAAGTATTGGTACAATTATACACAAGAACTTGTCAACAAGCAGACAGGGAGGAGTCCCTGGGACACTTCGTTCTGACTATTTGCTCTATGTCCTCTGCTCATTGCTTCTCCGGAATAGCATTGTAACAAAACAGGTGCCTTTATTTGCAAGGCATTAATGAAGGGACTTTAATTACCTGGTTGCCATCAGGGTGGAATGATGCTTGACATGACACCTGGGTATTTAAGATGGAAGATTTGTCCACAGGAAGGGCAGAAAGACCAAGTGTGGCCACGGGCTCCTGGTGCAGAAGGATCATGTCTGAGAGGAGGCTCAGGTGTGCTGCTTTCTGACTAGGCAAAGCTCCCGAATGAGGCTGTCACAGGCTGGCTCTATACTAGTATAGTTCCTATATCCCTGGGGGTCAATATCCAAAGTTCCTCATTAACCAACACCTTTGGTGTCATTTTGATCCCTGGGCAGTGGAAATTCTTAAAGACTGAGACAATTCTTAAAGCGAGACATAAATGATGACTAACTTTTGATCTGTGTTAAAGTTACTTACAAACATTTTTCTTTAAGGATTTCAGTATTTTCAAGTGTTTATTACTTTACATTTTAACTTGTTCAATATGAATTTCTTAATCTATATTCTTCTTTCTTTTTGAAAAAATAAATTTATTGCTTATTTTTCCAGATATATTATTTGAAAATAAACTTATGACAAGAGGGCATTTTAATATTATTCATAATTTTACCACAAGTAAACTTCAAACACACCGATAAAATATACAAAGACACAGTGAGGCTGTAAAGAAAAATAGTTTTCTCTGTACTCCAACAAGAAGTGAAAGATACAATGGTAGAGGGGCTACAACCAAATTGTTGTGTTTATTTATGTTCAATGGTAAGTAGATATTTACCCTTTCAGATGATAAGGATTAAAGAATAGAACTGGATCCCTATCTCACTCCACTCACAAATGTCAACTTAGATTAGATTGACTTTTTTCAAGTTGTATTTTTTTTTAATCCTCACTGGAGGATATTTTTTCATTGATTTTTAGAGAGAATGCTAAGAAGGGGGAAAAGAGAGAGAGAGAGAGAGGAAGAGAGAGAGAGAAAGAGAAAGAAACATTGATGTGAGAGAGACACATTGATTTGTTGCCTCCCACAGGTGCCAGACCTGGGCCCCGGATGGAGTCTGCACCAAAGTACGGGCCCTTGACTGGAATGGAACCTGGGACCCTTCAGTTTGTGGGCTGATACTCTATCCACTGAGCCAAATGGCCAGGGCAGAAAAATAGT